CACTGTGGAAAAGGGGCTAAAAAGAATTTACAATTTAAAGAATTATTTAGGAAACAAAATATGGAGAACTAGTTCAACTGTTGATTATATATGGGGAGTAGAGTCAAGTATGGCTTATAGGTTTCTAGCTTGTAGGAAATGCAGGGGAAATATACAGGGCAGGTTGAAAGGTTGACCTTAAATGTGAGGAGAGACAACTTCATTCTTTGAATGGGACTTTAGGAAAAAAGATGATAGTAACTGGATTTAAGTTTATCAAGAAGGGAGGGCATGAGAGAGGAAGTGAAGAAGAGATTGGTAAAACGATTGATGTGTAGTACTGAGAGTCCAGGTGAGATTTCAGACCAGAAATTAGAAATAGTGACATCAGTTATGTAGTAATATATTCTCCAGCAATGAATAGAAAATTTAAGATTCACTAACAGTTGATGTTAGACTGGCTAATTGGGGGTGAAACAACAGGAATACATGGAATAGAGGAGTATGAGCAAAGACTAACTCAGACAAAGAAGGTGGCGTACAGAAAACTTACCCCTGCTTCGTGCTGGGCACATAAATAAGTTTTGTAGATACCGCTTTATTTACTCACATAACTCTGTGAGCCAGGCACTGTTATCCCCATGATGAAACTGAGGCACAGAGAGATTAAGACACTTGACTAGGATTACAGAGTTAGTAAGTGGCAGAACGGGGCTTTAAAACCAGGAAGTTAGGTTCCAAAGTCTATGTTCTTAACTACTAAGCTATACTGTTGATCACCCTTGGAGTCCAGGGTTAGGAGAAAAGGAAGGGAAGTCATAAGCTGGGAGAAGATGAACGGCTCAGGGCTCAAAGTTGATGCTTCATTGAGGTGGAAAACCTGTGCTGTGGGGTTTTCCGCAGATTATAATATGTGCATACCTGTTTATATCAGGTTAGGTGCTGAAAAAAAGGTAATTAATTTAGACATGTACCAGTTATTCTTTCAAGAGCATTTTTGCAGAGCAAATATGGGTCATATTTGCACTGCACAATTCTTTTTACTCCATTTTTATACAATAGAGGGCAGTAAGGAATTCTTGTACAAATAAACCTATTTTCCTTTTGTACCTCCTACCATAGTCATATTTTGATAGAACCCTTAGTAAATGACCAGGTTGCACGCAACATAACACGGGTTTGGCAAGCTTTTAAAAATGTTAGTGTTTCTGTATCCGCTAGTATACCTCTGCCCATTTAATAGGAGATCACTGCCAATTAGAGCTAGTGATGTTTTGTTTTAATTTGGAGAGAGAGCATGTCTCTGTCTTTAAATTCTCTGTCACTTTTCCTTTTTTTAAAAAAAAAAAAAAAAAAAAAAAAAAAAAATTGACGCCCAAATGATAAATAAATTTGAGGAAATGCAGACTAAAGGAATAAAAACTGAACGTGTCCACTGGAGTGGAATACCTTCTCAATACAGAACTGCTTGATTTGTTTTCTTCCTGTTTGGCTTTTTCCAAGTTTTTATTCCCCAAGATAACATTAATCAAACTAGCACTTTGAGAAATGGAGTTAAAATATTTTTTCTTGTTAAATTTCAGTAACTGGTCCTATTTTCCTTTGTTGCTCACTGTCTCATACTGTTAGGTCAGGGTCTCCAACCACCAGGACACAGACTAGTTATTAATGGTCCATGACCTGTTAGGAACCAGGCTGCACAGCAGGAGGTAAGCAGTGTTGAGGAGCCTGAGCCCCTCCTCTTGTCAGATCACCAGTGGCATTAGATTCTCATAGGAGTGCGAACCCTATTGTAAATTGTACATGCACATAATCTAGGTTGCACACTTCTTATGAGAATCTAATGCCTGTCTCCCAACACCCGCAGATGGGACTGTCTAGTTGCAGGAAAACAAGCTCAGGACTCCCACTGATTCTACATTATGATGAGTTGTATAATTATTTCATTATATATCACAATATAATGATAATAGAAATAAAATGCACAATAAATGTAATGTGTTTGGATCATCCTGAAACCATCTCCCACACCCAGTCCAGTCTTGTGGAAATATTGTCTTCCATGAAACTGGTTCCTGGTGCCAAAAGTTTGGGGGCCACTGCCTTAAATTGCATAGATAAACATAATAGATATTTTTGGTTATATCAGGGACTGTTATAATATTTTTTTCTGTATTAATCTAGATATTGAGTTAAAGCTCAACATGCTTTACAGATTGATATGGCTGATTTTTCAGTTATTTGCTTCTTGCCACTGTAAGGTTTGTTAGAATCAGGGCTCCAGATCTTTTCTTTTTTTTTCCTTTTAAATTAAGAGATGAGGTGTTGCTCTGTTGCCCAGGCTGGTCTCCAACACCTAACCCCTTGTCACCTTAGCCTCTCAAAGTTGTTGGATTACTGACATGAGCCAGTGTACCTGGCCGGGGATCTAGATCTAATACATGTTAAGATCATAGCTTTTAGAAAGTTTAGTCATAGGTGTTTAATTGTAGTTTCTTCCTTTGAACCCCAAACTTCAAGGTGTTTAGTAATACTTCTAAGGTCTGTGTTCAGGTGGTTTTGGTTTGACTATAAATATCTTTTTCTGTTTAACATTTATTAGTTCAAATCTAGATCACAAGCTGTCTGTACTCTTGTAGAGAATTTTATTTTATTTTAAAATTTTGTTTATTTATTTAGGAGACAGAGTCTTGCTCTGTTGCCCAGGCTGGAATGCAGTGGCACAATCTTGGCTCACTGGAGCCTCCACCTTCCAGGTTCAAACAATATATACGTGTGTGTGTATGTGTGTGTGTGTGTGTGTGTGTGTGTATAGACATCCAATGACCTCTGAACTTTTTATTGGCCTTCTGCTCCCCAAAGGGTATCCTGCTTCTACTGGCTTAATGTCTCAGAACTTTGGTATCATTGGTCTCAGATATCACTTTGCCATCCACTATCCAGCAGGTGGTGGTCTTTTGGATGGTTTAGATGGAGTTGCTGCTGTCCAGGGCATCGCTAAGATTAAAGTCCTCGCCATCTTCCAACAGGCGGTGGTAGGTGGCGATCTCAGCCTCCAGCTTGACCTTGATGTTCAACAGGACCTTGTACTGCTTGGCCTGGCACTGCTTCTCTGCCCAGGTCTGTGCCAGTTCTGGCTCTTCCAGGTGCAGCAGGATCCCGTTGAGCTGCTCCATCTGCAGGGAGTAGCGGGCCTCCACTTCCCTCAGGCTGTTCTGTAAGCTGGCCTTCAGATTTCTTATTGAGTCCAGGTCGATCTTTAAGGACTGCATTGTACGTCTTAGCTCCATGAGCATCATCTCAGCAGCTCCAACCTCAGCAGACTGCATGGCGACCACTATCATGTCCTCTTCAATCTGCTGAGGCCAGTACTTGTCTAGCTCCTGTCGGTTCTTCCAAGCTAGCTCATTGTCTTAGGCCTGGATGTCTGGCCATCATCTTGGACAGGTCCTGAGATTTGGGAGCATTTACCTCCACAGTCAACCCAGAGCTGGTACTTGGGGCTTGTAGGCTTTTTACTTCCCCATTGTGCTTCTTCTGCATGAAGAACAGCTCCTCCTTGAGAGCATCGATCTCTGTTTCCAGCTGCAGCCAAATGATATTGGTGTCATCAGTGACCTTTCAGAGTCCATGGAGGTCACTCTCCATAGACTGGGACATGGCCAGCTCTGTTGCATACTTGACTCTAAAGTCATCAGCGGCAAGACGGGCATTGTTGATTTGCAGAATGATGCAGGCGTTGTCCACAGTATTTATGAATGTCTGATCCCTCAGGTCCTTGATGGTTTTGAAGTAATGGCCCCAGTTTCTGAGCTGGGGTCCCTTCTTCTTTAGGTACTCCCAGATTTTGCTCTCCAGGAACCGAGCTCTGTCGAGGTAGGGGGCCAGGAGGTTGTTCAGGCCTTGCATGGTATCCTTCTTCTTCTGGATGCTTCCTATTCCTGCCAGACCCCTGGCCATCCCCTCAGCCAGGCCCCCGGAACTATCCTGGAAGCTGGTGGAGTGGGACACGGAGGTCTGGGAACCAGAGCCCCCAGTGCCTGCTTAGACGCTAGCCATGCTGTTGACCAGCTGGGCGCCATAGCTGAGCACATGGACAGAGGTCAGGGACTGTAATTGGTGGGTAAGGTGGAGAGAGAGGTGAAGCTCATGCTGTCTGGAGAGGAGAGCGAGAGGATAGGGCTCAGGCTTTGCTGACAGCCAGAATATTAGATATTATCATTGCTTAATATCCCTTTCTTCTTTTGCTGTTGATAATCAAAACTTTATTACTGATTCTGACTTGATTTTTGAGGTTTTGTTCCCATAGAATTTTTAGTAGACAGGTTAATATTTAAAGGAATATTTAATATGTGATTTCTTTCAGCTAGAATAAGCTGAAGGTGCAAAAGAATGAATGTTGTCTTAGGTTCCTAAGACCTAGGAAACTGGCCTGAATGCTTTTAAGCAGTTGGTTAACCTTTAGGCCATTCAGAATGTGAGAACAGTTTGGGATGATTTTCATTCCTCTGTTAGGCTTAAAAAAGAATCACCACATTGTTCACTGATGTCATTAAGGCTGTTAGGAAAAGTGTTTGTTTTAAGTATGAAGACCCCAGAGAACTCTTGTTTATGCTTACTTTAATAATGAAAATGTGGTTTTGATTTAAAATTCTTCTAACAATATATATGAGAAACATTTGTAGTGTGCTTTTTTAATTTTTTACATACTTTTACAGAGTTTGTCTTATTTGATCTTCACAGTTCTGTGAAAAAGGTAGGACAGATAGTGTCACTCCTCCTTTTAAAGATGAGAAGTTTGGGCTTCAAAGAAAGCCAGTGACTTGCCGTGAGATAAATAGCTAGTTATGTCTGCTATCTAATACATCAGTTTTCATTCTCCTATATCAAAGAGTTTCTGTGCAGAAAAACTTCCACATGATTTACTTATAATTTCTAAAATGTAAAATTCAAATTGTTTAAATTTCTGTCCTTTCAGCATTTACCAGAAATGTATGCCATTTTAAAAAACAGACAATTAAAAAAATATGGAATGCTTCATGAATTTGTGTGTCATCCTTGCACAGGGGCCATGTTAATCTTCCCTGTGTCATTCCATTTTCAGTATATATGCTGCCGAAGCAGTCACGGCTTAATCTTTTTTAGAGCAGTTTTAGGTTTACAATAAAATTTAGCAGATTCCTAATGTGTCTTCTGCCCCCTCACATGCATAATCTCCTCCATTATCAACAATTCCCTTACCAAATGAGTACATATGTTACAGCTGATGAACGTACATTGACACATCCTTACCATGCAGAGTCCATAGTTAACCTCAGAGTTCGATTTTGGTGTTGTGTATTCTATGGGTTTGGACAAATGTAAAATGTGTGTCCACCTTATAGTTTCATACAGATAGTTGTGCTGCCCTAAAAGTCTTCTGTGTTCCTGTCTTTTTTTTGTTTGCTGTTTTGGCTATATATAAAGTATATAGTCAAAAGAGGGACAGATAGCAATTTGTTCCACATTGTATTACCGTAATTTTAATCTTGTTTGTAGTTTTGGGATTTAGAAATACTTGATTCAGAAGTATATATTTAATTGATTATAATTTTGCCTCTAAAGGCATTATGAAAGAGTCTCTGATTCTTAACAAAATTCGTAAAGTTGCCCAGTTTCAAAAAAGAAAAATGACTTTGTACTTTTAATAATCACGTAAAAAATGAATACGCTTTATATTGCATAATGCCTGTGGGGAGATAAAAGAGTGTGTGTGTGTGTGTGTGTGTGTGTGTGTGTGTGTATTTGAGACACAGTCTCGCTCTGTTGCCCAGACTGTAGTGCAGTGGCGTGATCTTGGCTTGCTGCCACCTCCGTCTCCCAGGTTCAAGTGATTCTTTTATACCTTAGCCACCCGAGTAGCTGTGGTTATGGGCATGTGCTACCATGCCTGGCTAATTTTGTATTTTTAGTAGAGACAGGGTTTTGCCACGTTGGCCAGGCTGGTCTTGAACTCTTGACCTCAAGTGATCTGCCTGCCATGGCCCCCCAAAGTACTGGGATTACAGGCATGAACCATGACACCCAGCCCCTCAAATATATATATATTTTTAATTGACTTCTTTTTGCAAAAAGCTTAGTTCAAGTATTTTTATTTCTATTTCTTTTTTGAGATGGAGTTTTGCTCTATCACCCAGGCTAAAATGTAATGGCGCGATCTCAGCTCACTGGAACCTCTGCCTCCCAGGTTCAAGCAGTTCTCCTGTCTCAGCCGCCCAAGTAGCTGGGACTACAACTACAAGTGAGTGCTGCCATGCTTGGCTGATGTTTGTATTTTCAGTAGAGACCGGGTTTTGCCATATTGACCAGGCTGGTCTCGAACTCCTGACCACAGGTGGTCCACCTGCTTCAGCTCCCAAAGTGCTTGGATCACAGGCATAAGCCACCATGCCCAACCCAGTTCAAGTATATTTAGAACCTCTATTCTTGTAGTCATAGACCCTGTATAAATCTCTATCTGGCAATACAAAATAATCCTTACCTTGCTTTCGGCAAAGTTGATGTTGATAACAAACGCAAGGCTAATTATGAAATTATTAGAGGAGTTTCACCAAACTTTGGTCGAAGACCTGTTTTGTATGGCCCTCATGCTAAGAAATGACTTTTACTTTTTAAAGAGCTGTTTTTAAAAAATAAGAAATAAACAAAGAATAATATGTAACATAGGCCATCTGTGGCTCACAAAACGTAAAACATTGACTATCTAGCTCTTCACAGATAAAAAGTTTGCTGCCTGTGTATTAGAAGAGTATGTATCGTAAAATAAAATGTAAACAGAGACCTTAGGGAAATGCAAATCAAAACCACACCGAGATGTGACTTCATACCCCTAGGATGGCTATGATTTAGGGATGAAAAAGGGCAATGACAAGTGTTGGCCAGGATGTAGAGAGATTGGAACTCTCATACATTGCAGATGAGAGTGTAAAATGGTACAGCTACTGTGGAAAAGAGTTTGGCAGTTCCTGAGAAAGTTAAACATATGCTAAAGAGATGCAAAGAAAAATTTTAAAATAAATAAGTAAGAGAAAAGCATAGAGCTATCATATGACCCAGCAGTTTCGCTGCTAGGTGTATACCCAAGGGAATTGGAAACGTGTGTACACTAAAACCTGCACAAGACTGTACATTACAATAAACAAAAAGCGGAAAAAATCCAAATGTTCATCAACTGATAAACAAAATGTGATATAGCCATAGGATGGAATATTATTCACCCATAGAAAGAATGAAATACTGACACACACTTCATCATTGTTGAAGCTTGGAAACGCGCTAAGCACAAAAACCAGAAACAAAAGGCCAAATGTTGTATGATTCCATCTGTGTGAAATGCATAGAAAAAACACATCTTTGGAGACAGTAGGTAGATTAGTGGTTGCCAGAGGCCGTGGGGAGGTCAGATAGGGAGTGACTGTTCATGGATATGTTTTTTTTTTAGGGTGATGAAAATATTCAGGAATTAGATAGTGATGGTGGTTATAACAGCCTTGTGAACATAATTTTTAAAACCACTGAATTGTATACCTAAAATGGTGGATTTTACAGTATATGAATTATATCTCAACAAAAGAAAATGTAACCAGAGATTAAGTAGTATAAACGAGGTAATGAGAGGTCAGGGAGAAAAAAGAAGACTGTAGGCATGAATTAGTGGATGTGACTCTGAAGTTGGGGCTTGAAATGTACCCCAAAAGGCATATAGGATTTGGATAGATAAAGCAAGTGGGTAAGGTAGTACTTAGGAAGGGGTCTAAACCAAGATACTGTTTGACAGAAGAGAAGTTGCAAGATGTAAGAGGAAGAAAAGACAAGGTGAGTCTCTCGTTTTCATGGAGCCTCTAAACTGGCATATTAACTGATCTGGCCCGCTAAGAATAATGCTTTGCACAATTATTTTCATGGGATAAATTGCATATCTTTCTAGTCTTGGGCAAGAATTTTTTATTCCAGCCAGAGAGCAAGAGCCCTTTAAAGACTCTCTGCCATGGTATTTTTAACAGGTTACTGTAAGGATTTTAGTTCACTGCATATGCTTTGTGGAATTTGCTGCCATCTTTTTTTTAAACCTATTTAAAATCATACAAAGTGTCTATCAGGTTTTGTTATTTAAAACAAACCTCCCCCCTTAATACTGTTCCTTATACTTGCCATTTCTATAAAGTTCTTTCATGTATACTGTTTTATTTAATCCTTCCACCACACCTGAGTTAGGTGACATCATTCCCATTTTAAAGATCAAAGAGGCCATATAATGGGAGCCAGGATGGGAGCACTGGAGACAGAATGCCTAGGTTCAAATTCTTGTTCTGCCGTTTACTAGTCGTTTTGTAAGTTTTGAGTTGTTGAACTTCTGTAGGTCATATGTTTTCTCTTGTCTGAAGTGGTGATCATAATTAGTATCATAAAGTTGTTTTAAGTAAGTTGACTAAAAGTAAAATTCTTAGAAACATGCTTGCACACAGTATGCCCTTCATAAGTGTTAAAGTGTTATTTATAGATCACAAAAATTGAGTAAGGTTAAGAAGTCCAGAGCCTTCCAGTTGGTAAGTGATTAAATTAGGTAATTAGGTAATCTGAACCTAAGTCCTACTTGCTAATTTATCTAGTTGCCTTTACCATATTTTGTTACATGTTTATTTACTTATTGGACATAAAATTATTAACCTTCTAAACTTTAATTTAAATGTAGACTGTCTGAGTGCAGTGGCTCACACCTATAATCCTAGGACTTTAGAGGCTGAGGTGGGAGGGAATTGCTTCAGGTCAGGAGTTCAAGGCTACATTAAGCTATGATTGCGTCACTGCACACCAGCAGTGACAGAGCGAGATTCTGTCTGAAAAAATAAATGTGGGCCAGATCATAGACCAGGTAGTTATAGCAAAAGAGAGTTGCTAAATACCTCACAACAGAATTTCCATTCTTAACCCAGTCTTTGCTTTAATCCATTGGTGCCCAGTCCTTAGAAGTTAAAAACCAAACTTAAGAGCTATGAGGGGAAAAAATTATAGTGGAAAACATAGATTTAATGCAAAATAACTGAAAAAGTTACAAAAAAGAAAAGAAAGAAAGAAAAAAACAAATTAACAAAAATTAACTTGATGGTGATAAACAGCTAAAAGCAAATAACATCTGAGGGAAGACCTGGGATAATCAATCAAAAAAGTGGTTATTTTTAATAAATAGACTGCTTGATAGGGACAAATTTTTTTAAAGATAAATTTAAAAAAGGCATTCACAAAAGAAAAAAACACATGACTGATAAATATTTGAAAACTTTAACCTCACTAGTTAATCAGAGAAACTTAGAGTAATAAAATTTTGATAATACAATTAACAAAATAAGAATATTTATGTTGAAACTCTGGACTATTAGGGATATGGTGAAATGGCACCAACAAATTCCTGATTGGAATGTCAATTGATAAAACCACTAATCTCCATGAAGAACCTTAAAAACGTTCCTAGTCTTCGATTGAGTAAGTAGAGTTTCATGTGAGAATATAACCCAGAGAAAAAAATGACAACTGGATTATATAAGTAAAGTGTATTATATAAGTAAAGATTTCTTGCAGCATTGTCTATAATAATATATAAATAAGCATTATCTATAATAATAGAAAACACTTGGACATACCCAGCAAGAAGGACAGTTAAATTACTGTACATTTATTGTAATATCTATTAAATAGTTAGGAAAAACTTCAGTGACCCTGAAGAAAGATGAAGTAATATTGGCGTGGGGAGCGGGGGGCGGGGAATAAAAAAGATTCAGAATTGCAACACTTTAACCTCTAATGTCAAGCAGTAAACCTAGTCTTGAGAACAGTTCATTCTGGATAAATACTTACTGAGTTGCTCTTAAATGTTTAATTTACCGAGTACCTTCTATAAAAGTAAATAAGGCAAAACCCCTTTTGAAACCGCATTCCCCTTTCCCTTGTAGTAGTGACCACCCAATTTTTCTATTCTTCCTTGAAGCAGATGCCTCAAAAAAAATTGTCTCGTACTGCTGTCTCCCGATTTCTTCCCTCCCAGTCTTTCCTAAACCCAGTCGTGTTTTTGTCCTGGGTTACTGCACTGC